CCATGTGCCCATGCCCCCACAGTCTGGCCAGTGCTGGATTCTACCACCCTTTAAAATTTGTTTTCAACTTCTTGGGAGAAAAATGGCACCTTGTTGGGGCCAGCAGGTGGCATGGTGGCTAAAGCATTGGACTCCCACATGGCTGACCATGGTTCAAGTCCCTGACCTGGTGCTTACTTTCTCATTTTCCCTCTCTCTCTCTGTCCCTCTTTGGTGAATTAAATAATAATAATAATCATAATAGGGGCCAGCCGGTGGCATGATGGTTGGAGTGCTGGACTCCCACATGGTCAACTACAGTTCAAGTCCTGGTCCAGGCAGCTTGCTTTCTCACCTTTTCTTCCTCTGCCTGTCTCTCTCTGGTCAAATTAAAAAATAATAATAACAAATGGAATTAAGTAAATATAGATAAGTCTTTTAAAAATAATAATAAATGAAATTAAAAATGATTCTTTTTTAAAAATGGCACCTTGTTTCGGTTTCATTTCTCTTTTTTAAAGAATTACTTTAACTTTATTTATTTATTTACTTCAATTTAACCAGAGAGGGACAGAGCAAGAGAGAGACAGAGAGAAAGTGAGAAAGCAAGCCGTCAGTTTGGGACTCGAACCTTGGAAGGCCACATGGGAGTCCAGCCTCTTAACTACCACGCCACCTGCTGGTCCCTGCATTTCTCTTTTAGTGGAGATGAATCTTTTTATTGCTTTTCCTGAGCTTTGGAGTAGGTCCAAATCTGCTCTCGGGTTCCTCAAACTCAACAGTGAATTCAGCACGTCTTCCCTTGAAGTTATTTCTCTTCTCTTGTTTTCTCATCTGTTGAGCCATTTTTTTTTCTGAGTTGACCCAAACCAGAAACATATTTTTAATGTTTCCCCTTTCCTTTTAGGAATTTTGAGCATGCAGGCACAGATGCCAGGCCGGTTTTCCAAGCCCCAAGGTCTAGGACTCGAACCTCAGAGTCGGCCATGTGGGGTCCAGCAGCCTTAAGCACCATGTCCCCAGCTGGCCCAGTGCTCGGGAGTTGGGATGGAAGTTGGGCACATCAATACGGAATGCCACGTGCTGGCCTTAGTTACTGGGTCTCTGCTCCTTCTAGAGGTCGCGCTGACTCTGCAGCCCAAGGCCTCCAGGATAAATCAGTGTTAACGCAGATCTCCCCACCCCTTGCCTCAGGACCTGAGCCAAGGCCCCAAGAAAACAGACACTCTTTTTTTAAACAAGTATTCTTATTTAACTTTATTTATTTATTTATTTATTTATTTATTTATGTTAATTTGAATGGAGAGGGACAAAGTGAGAGAAGGTGAGAAAGCAAGCCACCAGGTCCGGACCTTGAACTGCAGTCAACCATGTAACCGTGGTCACCATATGGTCCAGCATCCTTAACCACCATGCCATCTGCTGGCCCCCCTGTTTTTGGGGGGGTTTTTTGGAGCGGTTTTTGCTATAGAGCCGCATGCCCTCACCAAAAAGACAGAGAGAGACAGAGACAGAAAGTGAGAAATCACCCCCCGGGGGGAATGGCCACGCTGCAATCCCTTCTCCTCCATTCCCCTCTCGGGATCTTGGGCACGCACACACACATGCTTGGCATGAGTTCAAGTCACTGGGTCTGGGACTTGAACCGCGGTCGACTACATGGGAGTCCGGCGATATAGCCATTACGCCAACTGCTGGTCCCTCGTTTTTTTTTTAAGAGAGATTTTTGCTAGAGTGTGTGTGTGCACTCACCAGAGAGAGAGATAGAAAGCAAGAAATCACCCCCCAGGGGGGATGGCCATACTACAATCCCTTCTCCTCCATTCTCCTCTCAGGATTTTGGGCATGCATGCACATGCACCTGGCATGAGTTTGAAGCTGCTGGGACTGGAACTTCAGTTAACAACATGAGAGTCTAAAGACATAACCACTACGCCATCTGCTGGTCCCAGAGATAGACACTCTGACCAGACAGGATATGCTGAGGGCTTAGAGGTTCCCTATTGGAGCCTGTCAAAGGCCAGTCCTTTCTATGGAATGTGTGACCCGAGGGCTCGCCCCTCCTGCACACCTGGGCTGCTGTCGGGTCAGACACCCCTAAGCTGCTCCCTCTCCCCTGGAGTGGGTGGCGACTCTCTTTTGTTGCTTTGCTTTATTCTTTCCCAACTCTGTCTCCGAACGGAACAGCTCATTCTGCCTGCTTTTCCTTCTCCCAAGTTTTGTTTTTAAATAATTATTTTATTTAACTTTATTTATTTACCAGAGAGGGACAGAGAGAGAGGGAGGGAAAGTGAGAAACCGTGTCGCCAGTTCTGGAACTCGAACTGCGGTCAGCCATGTGGGAGTCCAGTACCCTTACCCACCAAGCCACCAGCCAGCCCTTGTTTTTTTTTTGTTCTGTTGTGTGTGTGTGTGTGTGTGTGTTTTAAGGTTTTTGCCATAGGGTGCATGCACTCGCTGGAGAGAGACAAAGAGAAACAGTGAGAGGAAGAGTGAGAAATTCACCTTGGGTGGGGGGGGATGACCATGCCGCAATCCCTTCTCCTCTTGGGATTTTGGGCACGCATGCACACACACCAGAAGTGATTTTCAAGCTGCCAGGTCTAGGACTCAAACCACAGTCGGCCATGTGGGAGTCCAGTGTCTTAGCCACCATGCCACGTGCTAGCTCCTTTCCCCAAGTTACTGAGATACAACTACGTAAGGTAAAATGCACCCACTGGGATGGGCAGATGGAGTACTGAGCTCCCACGTGGCCACCCACAGTGTGAGGCTCAGACAGGGTGGCTTGAAAATCCTCCCAGGAGGAGAACGGAGGAGAAGGGATTGCAGCATGGCCACCTCTGCTGTGGGGGTGATCTCTCACTTTCCCTCTCACTGTCTCGTTCTCTCTCTTGCTGGTGTGCACATGTGCCCTATGGCAAAAGTCTCTAAAAATAAGTGCCCACTCGTTCCGAGCAGCATTACGGGAAAGCTACGAAGAGGCAGTAATGGCGATGCCCCTCCACTAACGAATGGTGAATAAAGTGCGGAACATCACTCGGCCACCAAAACGCGTGCGGCACGAACACAGGCCACGAGACAGGTGAACCTCAGAAATGTGACGCTGAGTGAAAGACGCCAGACACAGTGGGCCACAGACGCGATGAACCCTCCCACTCGAAGTGTCCAGAACAGGCAAATCCACAGGGACAGAAAGCAGATTAGTGGGTGCCCAGGGCTGGGCAGGGTCGGGCAGTGTGTGTGGTGTCTTTTCGGGGTGACGAAATGTTCTAAGAAAGACTGTGGTGATAGCTACACAAGCAGATTCTGCCAGAGCTCTACCACCCACCTTTTCCTTCACCAACCCTGGCCTCCTGACGGCCCCCAGATGGTTAGGGGCCTCCACCCCTTCAGGACTTTGCCAGTTCTTTTCCCTCTGCAAGAATGCTTCCTTGGGGACCATCAGCCGGTGTAATGGCTGTCGCTGGACTCCTACGTAGTCGGCTGTGGCTGGAGTTCCAGACCAGGTGGTTAAACTCACACCGGGCGCGTGTGCGTGCGTGCCCAAGATCCCGAGAGGAGAATGGAGGAGAAGGGATAGCGGTGTGCCCATCCCCCCTAGGGGGTGATTTCTCGCTTTCTGTCTCTCTGTCTCGGTCTGTCTGGCGAGCACACGCGCCCTATAGCAAAAACCTCTCCAAAAAAAAAAAAAAAGAAAACCGAATGCTTCCTTGTAGACCATCGTTGGGCCAACTTTGAAACGCCCTGCAAGTCTGGAAGTCACAGGGGCAACCCCTGACTCAGCTCCCTGAAATCACACGGGGTGGGCACATGGACACCAGGGCTGTGAGAGCTGACAGGGCGAGATCCTGCTGAGGTGCTTTCTCTCTCCCTCTCCCCCAGGGCCAGGTACCAGACATCTCAGCCCCTGAGCCCCAGCCCCAGCCCGGCCTGCCTAGCCTGCTGCGGCGTGTCTTCCCGCAGAAACCGCAGTGAAGGCTGCTGCCCATGGCTCCCTCCTCTTCCTCTGCCTCCTGAGTGACCCTGGTACATCCTTGTGTTGTTTGTCTTCTTTTTTTTTTTTAATAATTATTTAATTTTATTTATTCATTCATCTATTTTAATTTGACCAGAGACACACAGAGAGAAAAAGGGAGAGAGAAAGTGAGACAGCAAGCCACCAGGTCCAGGACTCCAGTGTTCAGCCATGTGGGAGTGTCCAGCGCCTTAACCACCATGCCACCTGCTGGCCCCCTTTTAAATATATATAATTATGGGACCAGCAGATGGCATAATGGTTACAATGCTGGACTCTCACATGGCTGACCACAGTTGAGTCCCGGACCCGGTGGCTTAAACTCACGCCGGGCACATGTGCGTGTGTGCCCAGGATCCCAAGAGGAGAATGGAGGAGAAGGGATTGCGGCGTGGCCATCCTCCCTGGGGGGTGATTTCTCACTTTCTGTCTCTCTGTCTCTCTCTGTCTTTCTGGCAAGTGCACGCGCCCTATAGTAAAAATCTCTCGAAAAAAAAAAAAAAAGAAAAGAAAAAAATTATTTAATTTTTTTTTAATTTTTGAAAAATATTTATTTATTTAATTTTATTTATGCATTCATTTAATTTGACTAGAGAGAGAGAGAGAGAGAGTGAGTGAGTGCAGAAAGTGAAAGAGCAAGCTGCCAGGTCCAGGACTCAAACCATGGTCAGCCATGTGGGAGTGTTCAGTGCCTTAACTACCATGCCACCTGCTGATCCCCTTAGTTTTTTTGTTTTTTTTTTTTTTGAGAGAGATTTTTGCTATAGGGCACATGTGCTTGCTGGAGAGACAAAGAGACAGGAAGCAAGAAATCACCCTCCCAGGAGTATGGCCATACCGCAATCCCTTCTCCTCTTGGGATCTTGGGCATGCACGCACACGCACCCGTGGGAGCCCAGTGATATAACCATTACTCCATCTACTGGTCCCAAAATTTATATAATTTATTTCTAAATTATATATAATCAATTTATAATTTTTTACTTTATAATAAATTTATTATTTCTTTTTCAACAGGGCCTCACTCTGTTGTGGTTCTCATCCCTCAGCCTTCAGAGTTGCAGGAACACAGGTGCGTACCATGAACACACCCAGCTCTTAGGCTACGCTGGGAATTGGACCTAAGATTCCCACATGGGTGGCATTGGCTCGCTTAGCACCCGTGTTTACCAGAGTGCCCTGCTGTGGCTGGAACTTACCCTCCACTGGGGGTCGTGTCCTCACTGTTGGCCTTGCCACACCTGAATAACAATAAAACCTACAATTTGAAACGTGTTTGCTGCTAATGGCCTACCCTGCGATCCTTCTCAGAATTGCAGTGGGTTGGAGAGCTGGGGTGCGATGTCCTCCCTCTGCCCTCCGGTGACCCATAGCCCATGGGTGACTCAGGGTGGTAGTGGTATGTCTCTGAATGTGGCCCCCAATGACCACACACCCCCCCATTGTCACAGAGTTAAATAATCGCCTTCCAGGGCCAGTCAGTGGCACAGTGGTTAGGATGGCTGGATTCCATATGGCCAACTGTGCCGTCGGAGTCCCAGACCTGGTGGCTGAGAAACACACTGGGTACATGTGCGTGTGAGTCTAAAACCCTGACAGGAGAACGGAGGAGTGGAATTGCGGTGTGGGCACATACCCTACGGGGGAAGGGGAGGGCGATTTCTCACTTTTCTCTGTTTTCCCTAGAGCACACACACCCCAACGCAAATTTAAAAATAAATAAACAAATAGCCTCCTCCCATATCCAGCCTGGGCTCACTGACCTGCATTAACCACAGAATGTAGGTGAAATGAAACTACGCCGTTCCAGCCTAGCCTCTTAAGAGAATGGAAGCTGCTGCTCTAGAATTCTAAAATGCCAGCCTTCTAGCCATTCCCAGGGGGGCAGACACATCTGGGTGCATGGTTGTGGATGTCTCAGCCCAGTTGGGTCCTGAGGTGACTGCACACAGAGGGAACACCATGTAGAGCGGAGGAGGAACTGCCCTGCTGAGCCCAGTCAGCCTATGCAACTCTTGAGCAGTTGCCAAGTTTTTGTTTTATGACTCCATTGGCCGCAATGAGCCCACACAGCGAGATACAAAGGCCCAGTTCCATTTGCTTCAAGGTGGGAAAGACTTTGCAACTGAATTTATGCTCCAGAGCTCCCCAAAGGATCAGCCTGCAGTTGGGACTTCACTCTTGCTGGTTTTCTCCCCTTCTGTCATCCCATCCCCTTACTGGTCTCACCTGGGAGCATTGCCTTAGCAAATCACTGGCACTGGAATCTTGCCCCAGGCTCTGCTTTTAACAGAAGCTGACCGGAAGACAGGATGCTTCTGATTTTCTCTCTTCCAGCTAGACTCCGAGGGTCTGGCTCCTCTATTCCATCTCCCCTCTTCTCTGCCCCTCTCTTGGATCGGATAATCTCAGAACCCTTTCCAGACTCCCAGATAACAGGCAGCCATGGTGTGTGTGTGAGGGGGGGAAGAGAGGCGTAAAAACATCCAAGAGGTCTCCGAAGGAAGCAGCAAGCAGCTTGTTGGCTCTGGCTAGCAGCAAATGAACTCCCCCAACCGCACACCCATGGAAGGGGAGTCCATGGAGGTCAGGCAGGCAAGTTCAGGCAGTTGGCATCGGTGTCTGTGGTGGGAGGGGCTTTGCCATGGTTCCACTCCCTCCCTGGGGGCGTCCCTCTGTAACCTCTCCCCCCCACAAGGTCTCAATCCCTGAAAACCCTGCAGTCCATCACCAGGGAGCCTCCATCAGGTCCCACAGCCGGGTGCTGCTGGAGTCAGATAAGTCAGAAGAGAAGATGCTAGGGGCTGGAGGGCCAGAGCCCAGGGGCGGACCCCCACTCAGGGCCTCCAGCCAGTCCAAGGAGTCCGTCGGGCCCCTGGGAGAGGGGGATGGGGAGTTCGTGGGGGACGGGAGTGAAGAGGAGAAGACAGATGAGAGGCCTTCTGAGTCCGGAGAGGGGGACAGCACGTCGAAGGAGCCGGGAAAGTCTAGGGGGATCGGAGGCAGCAGGTCTGATAAGGAATGAACGAAGGGTGAGCTTAGGAAAGCAGGGATCCGACCCTGCAGCTCCCTATTCTTCGAGAGCCTCATCCCCCACCTTGCCCAAATCTAGGCGTTCCACCCTTACCGTCAGGCTTAACCTGATCCTCCAGGATGTCATCGATGCCCCGGTTCGGAAGCAACTGCGGACGGACAAACGCGGAGTGAACCCGGGACTCCAGCCCAGAATGTGACCCGAGACCCTTAGCTCTGCTTCCACACTCACTCTCTCACCTGCGCCCTCCGAATCGCTTCCTGGAGCTCCTCCTCCAGCGTCAGGACCATTGGGGCGGGTGCCGAGGAAGGGGTCAGGGCTGGAGCCGGAGCCGGAGAGGGAACCAGAGCCGGAGACGGAGACAGAGCTGGAGCTCGAGCCGGAGCCGGAGCCATCACCAGGGTCTCCGCGGCACGTGGAAGAGGTGGCCTGTGACACGCTGTACTTGGCTTGACCTACCCGGCGAAAGGGAGTTCCTACAGGTCACGCCCTCTGGGTGCAACTCCACCCGCTCCCACTTTGTGGCTCCACCCCCTGTCCCTGGCCCGGCCCTTCGGTACACTCTGACTTCGCCCCCTACTTTATCATTGGCTCGTTTTCCCTTAAGCACCTCCTCGTTTGCGCTTAACCACGCCCCTCGCCCCGGTTTCTCGCCGCTAGACCACACCCCCACACTTCATTGGCTACTTTTTTTGTGTTCTCTTCATTGGCCCACGCGCTCATAGCCCCGCCCTCACCGAGCTCTGCCGCCTGGCGGCTCCCAGGGCTTTGGGCCTGAGGCGCGGCCAGGGAGCAGCGGCCGAACTGTCCTCGCGCCGGGGTTTCGTCCGCTCGCGGGGTGGGGCTCCACCGCGCATGCGCTCCAGGCGCATCGACTTAG